AAGACATATTTTTGACTCATTTTGCTGCCATGCCTTACCATACCGGTATCAGAGCGCAGTCAGAATATGAACGACAAACCATCTGAAAAACAAACGGCGGCTAAATGTGAACAAGCCGAAACAAATTATACCGTGCCGTTCCATGATGGGCTGTTGAAGTCGACTCATAGCTGCAGCTAGAGGTTTCCATTTACCGATAGGGTGCCCATTCGAACAGTATCTACACCCTAACTAATCTACTACTTCTGTTTTTTCTAAGAATGTCATACGGAACACGCGTCTGATTGTGTTCAGAATTTGTAACCGCTTCCGCCTTGAATGCGGAGACTGGAGCACTTGACACAGAACGTTCACTTGAACTTACAGCAGACCCATTATATTTCATACTTAGACATAGATATTCAGTAATTCAACGTTCATTATTAATGCTACGCAGGAATATGCTCCTTTCTGCTTTCAGCACTAATTCTACCTATAGTAATTCTACCGTACATGTCTTACATACTTTAATCAGTCAAAAGATACCTTGTTTATATCAGGCTTAAAATCTATTATAAGGCTCGTACAAACCCGGAATGCTTCTGTTTACGATGCACATTCCAGCCACTCAGATGAGGTACTAAACCTCGCTTACAGTGAAATGCGGTACACGTGTCAAAAGCTTACTGGAAACTAAGCGTCAGGATTAAAATATAGTTTGTAATCCGTCTATGGCAGGCTAAAAACTGCGATATGTTCAACATTTCAAAATCTGAGGACACTCCTTCAATTAGACGAGCGCCTACGTAATAGACTGCATGGTTTAAAAATTTCCTCTTATGATTAGGCACTCACTTCATATTTTGGCAAAGAAACACTAAATATGCTCTGAATATTGAATATGTCCATCGTCATCAAATAAGAAATGACTCATTCAACACTAAGTTTCACGATTTACTGCACATCCCTCTATCTTTGATTTCCGTAGGGGCCATTTAAGCAGGGCACGGCTCCATGGTATTTGAGCTCCTGCAATGCCGGATGCATCTCGAATAGTTTTGTCCGCTGGAACTACCTGACGTTGATTAGAATGTCCTTTGTCTTCCTTCACTTTCATGATTAGGCTGTTCTGCCGCCCTTCATTTGATGAGGTAGATGATGCGATACTGACCTCTGTTTCTATGCCATAAGTCAGAAGCGACTTACTTCTCTACGGTCAGAGTCTACAGTAATGTGGCAAGCATAATGTGTAGTCCGGTATCAAGAACCAAAAAGGATCATAATGTGTAGTCTTCTGTTCTCTTCCTACAGAAAGCTACTCATTTATCAACCTTGGAAGGAAGAAGAGCGATTGACCCTGACCGAGGCGTGAACTCTGGACGTCTCGGTTATGAGTTCGACGCTCTACCAGCTGAGCAGCTCTGGTCTGTTTATTGTTACCGGCTTATTAGATGCAGTAGTTATTGTAATAAAGCAATTTACACTGTATTTGTAATGATTCAATAAATTCAATTTTATTAATGTTTCCGTCCTGCCACTGTAATGGTAAAAGAACTGTTATCAGTTGACTCTTTGTCGTACTTCATACGACTTCAACTTGTTCTTGCCCTTTCATGTGCTTTTGCCTCAACGAAAGATTTTCTAGGAAAGGGAAAAATCGTTGAATGAAGTTTCGGTAACTGGACAGACATTTGAAGAAATACAAAAGCAAAACCGTCGTCTGAAACGACAGCTCAGTGAGAAGGACGCTGCCAACTGTAAGCTGATGTCTGAAGTATGTGTTAACTTGCTTTGTTTTTGTTACCTTAGTTTCGCAAAATTTGCTACGTTTTCTTGGTAGAAAATGGGTTTTCATTTTTTGTAGCGTGTACGATCTAATCAACAGCAAATGTTACTTCAAGAAAAAATAAGTGCAAAGGAAAAGGAGAAGGCTGCCCTAGATAGTCAGTACGCAGCGGAAACTCTTCTGATGCGTCATCTCGAAATGCAGGGTCGTTCAATGGAAGATCTGTGTTCAAGCTCAGAGAAGGAATTGTCTCTCAGTTATAAGGCTTTAGAAGAAGGTAGAAAGAAATCAATGGAACTGGCTCAGTTGGTAGTCGATTTAAAATTTCAAGTCGAGAAACTGAACTGTAAAATTGTTGACGCCAAGCAGAAGCTTCGGATCAAGACGGCGGCGTTGGAAGAAGAAGCGTTCAAGACTCATCGAGTGGAAAATGAAATATCGGTTCTACGGAGGAAGCTAGAGGGAATGAGAGAAACGGAAATGAAAGAGATCACCGATGAGTTCCTTGTCGAAAAAGTACGTTCCCTAAAAAAGATGCTAGAGTGTCCAGGCTGCAAAGTGCGACGCAAAGATAGCGTACTCGTCACATGTTTTCATATTTTTTGCCATTCGTGTCTTAAAGTCCGCTCCAAAGGGCGGCATCAAAAATGTCTTACTTGTGGCCGCCCCTATGAAGCAAAAGATGTTAAACGTATATGTCTATGTTAGGCTTTGGTTGTTTCCGTTAGTTGAGGTCGATTTTAAGTCATTCGTTTTAAATCTTTATTAAATCACCTTTACTATATTAATCTCTGAAACTGCACTGTCGTGTTTTACTTTGAAGTGCTTATGTCGAATTACTTATTTCATAAGTATATGGAAGTCCACCAAGTGTAATGATATTTTATAAATAATGTTCGTGAAGAAAGACTTAAAACTGTTGACAGATCAGAAAGAAGCCGCTTTTCATGTGGAGTCTGTTGTCATCGAGTCTGTTCAGATGTTCAGGTAACAGATATGTGCAGAGGATATCAAGTTCCACTCTGTTACACATTAATCGATTAAAAATTGGTGTTTGACTCAATCACATTGACAGCTTTATGAAAAGCCTTACAAGAACATGGCAAAACGAGCTTAACATCGATTGCAAAGCCTACATAAGGGTGTTCAGCGAACCATATCAATGACTGTTCATGGACGAGTGCACCAAGGAGGTTATCTTGCTTAAGCTCATCACTGCGATAGTGTGACCTGCTTTACTTAGTCGGCAGAGCATCGGACTCAGAACTGAGAGGTCCCGGATTTCCAGCCTGATCAGTTGATTCGACTTTCTTACTTCCGATTGGAAAGTAGAGGAATGAACACTTCTATGACAACGAAACCATAGGCAACTGCTGTCGACTATGGTTATGGCATTGGAATGGAGATCACATCCGTTATATTAATTTCATGAAAAGAAAGTCGCCGGAAATCGCCTCGTCATGAAGATAGGGATGACATTTTAATGCTTACAAACTTTGCTTCCTTTCTCTTTGCATGAAATACGAACAGAAAGAATTGAACGGTTTTGATTTCGGATCATTATCAAATAGGAAACAGGTGGTAAGAAATCTTGGCAGCAGTCCGTCATGCCGTATCTTTGCTATTTCCAGGGAATCAGCATTTTCTTATTTCTGATGATGATTTATTCGTTTGGTGACAGTTTGAAATAAAACCCTAGGTGGGATGATTCAAACAACGGGATTGATGTTACGTGATAGGGTCATCGGTGTGATGTCAGTAAATTAGCAACATGGTGCAATTTTTTCCAATGTAAGTTTTTGTGATTTGTTATCTAACGAGTCCATATGGTCTCCGACTGAACATCAGAGTGGTCATTTAAATACTAGTCGCTAGAATGGCACTCGTCTACACAAGTGCTTAGTGCAGACGAGACAGCTGTTTTGCAAGGGGATGTCTTCGACTGTATTTAGCTCGTCGTTTTAAGGCAGCCAGATCTCGCCGAGCGTACTCAGATGATGATTACATACACCTGAAGTGCATCATTAAATGTGACCGAATGACGGAAAATGCTATTCTTCCTCACAACAACGCGATCATACCATTAACCTATGAAGAAAGCTGCAGCTGCCAAGTTCTGCACTGCTATGTTCCTCAAATCAATATCTGTCATTGCACAGTGACTCTCTCAAGACTAATAGAAGCTACTTCAAGTTCTAGGGTAAACCGTGCGAAATCGAATAATGGATAGTGAAAATATGCCTGAAAATTCACCGAAATAAATCCACCGATGTAGTACTGACGTACTGTTTTGTACGTTATGCCAAAAACTGAGAAGTCATAATTGCGAATGCTTCCAGAAAGGAAGCGAAAGTACTGCTACTTCCTCAATGATTACTTCTGACCCCTGGGATGGCGAAGAATAATCTGAAGTGTACCTTGAAGGAGTCGGGTCAAGACAGGTTATCTTCTGCCGAAACTCAAATTCTGATACAGGATCTCAGGAACATTGAAGATAGTCTGATCTGTAAGGATGGTCAGTCATTAAAACTGACTGATGCTCAAAAGTCTTTGAGCCATGGTGTGCATAAATGACACAGTGCGATTACGACTCTAAATCCGGAGAAGGAACATGTATGTTACCTTGACAATTACTAAATTAATGTTACATTTCGGTCGATTGGTAGGTAAGTAGAGTAGGCGGTTCTCCTTTTCTTTTATCTTTACTGGTGGTCGTTCTGGTGTAATTGGCACTTTAGATGCCCCAGTCTGGCAGATTTGCTCAAAGTAATTTTTGTTTACTCACTTTGTCGTTCCTTTGTTACATTTTGGTCCGTTTTTCATCCTTTTCTTGAAATGTGTAATACCATATCCCTTGTTCATCGGCAGAGGATTGGCAGGTTGCATTATTCCCGTAAACTCTCCGAATATTCAGTAAGATCGCCACAAATCTTTCCTCACAGACTTTCAAGAGGGTATTAAAAAAGGGTATCTTGCGCGACGCTCGGCATCGGAAAAAGCACGGTCGTAGTGTAAGTTGGCACACCGCCTTTAAGAAGTACTTGTAGTTTTCTGTTGCCCTTCATCTCCTCCGCCAAAGTTTGCTGTATAGGGACCAACTTAATGACTCTCCATATTAGACAATTTACAAACGCCTCGGTGCTTCTCCTTGAGGAATCGAATTAAGCACAAGAGTCTGTCCTTTCATTGGTAGCTTTTAATTATTTCAGATGGACCGATTTTATACGAAAAATGTGGCAGATAGGAGTCATAACGTACGTTCAACAGGAATGGTGTGCCCACCCAATCTGACAGCAGTGACTGTATGGTTCTTCGGTGCTGGAAAAGACTTTTACCTGGGATTAAGTATATAATGTTAAGGAATATTTACACTGTTCCAGACTGCAGCGCATCACAGCTAGAAGAGCTTGCAGACTCACTGGCAGTATCCTTGTTACCAGCTGTTCAAAAGAATATAACTATTTTGGCCGGAGACTTTATTCGACACCGTCTTGAAGCCATTCTACCACTTGTCCTGACGAATCCGGTGAACTTCAACGAATGCGGAGATGCAACTCTAGGCCGAGTGTTTTTGAACGTCCCCAGAATATACATGATTCACCGGGCCGGAACTTTCAGAAAAAATAATACTGTTACAGTAAGGCTATATATAATGTATATATAAGACAACAACGCTATATATAAGACAACAGACGGCCAATAAGCCCAAAGCTAGTGGTGGTTAGCATGACCATTTCAATAATCATGCAATTCCACAACTTTAACATTAAACGAATCACAAAATACGGACAGTGGCGGCGGAAATATTTCCCTACAAACTCATGGATGCTGGATGGGGCAGGTGTTGTTCTACTTGAGTTTTTACCTTAATGAGATGAGATATGCACAAAACTTCTTCCTTCATAATCATAAATGAATTGACCTCCCTGTTGTCCGATGTGTGTGTGTGATTGATGGTCCCCAGAAAAACCGGAAATAACCACCGAAACAACGGCCATCAACGTACTATGGTATCCACACGCAGATCCATCAATGCATGGACACCGGACGTATAAATGCTGATTGACTTATAAAAACGAACAAAGGAAAAAATAAGGCATAAAAAGTTAATCCGGGTTAGAAGGATTAGTAAGGTCTGTGGAAGTTCGTTGGAACGTTTTTTTGTAAGTGATAACTATTGCCGGTTGTAAATAGACAGCGTAAAGTGCTTGACAGTCTGACTCAACTTCGCTTGCAATCGCTGTTCACGACGTTAGTTTCAGACAATAGCAATATATCGATTGACTAAACCGCATTCTGCAGCAAGTCAATGAATCAGAATGAGATTTTGCTCTTTTGAAAATGATTTTTTATTTGTAACTTCAACTTCGAAGGCTAATTTTAGTCTGTTCCTTTGACGTAATAATATTGGCACATTTATGGGTAGAGATTTTTTTGGTTGCAGCTTATCCGACCCATTTCAGTCATGTTTTTTATACGTACTATATGACCATGGAGCAATTCATGGTTTGATTAAATTGTATCTAGACCGTAGGAACAAGGGAATGGTCACAAAACCTGTGAACCCTAAGAAATGGCATGCTTTTGTTGTCGTTGTACTCGCCATCAGTGATAAATTAGTTTCAAAATGTCCTACTTAATCCACTGGCTACTGGAATTGTCCAGTTATTCACGCACAGTGTAAAAAGCAGAGGCTGTAGACCTGAACGATTCACTTGGAATAAAACGTTTGCAACTCAGTTCTGGTGCCCATATAAGATCAATCGCATGATGAATTTTCGTGAAGCGACATCGTTTACTGTCTGCATAATTAAAACCGTCAAAAGCATAAAACAATCCTGAACAGGCAAAATAAATAAACAAGACAAAGTCGTATGCACAAATGCGGCCAAAAATCATAATACAGTAAAACGGAACGTGGACCTTAAGAAGAAGCATACCAAAATATCGAACATAGTCGAATGCTAAAACAATAAAGTAATAAAAAATAACTAAAACTGAATTCTTCGATTTGTCTGTCACTTAAAAGAAAGACCGCTGCACAGCTACAGTTAAACGAGCATATGCTGCTGGCGCTGGCCAAAAAGCAGCCAGGGGCAGATCAATCGTCCCGCTAAAACTGATACTGACAGACGGCTCGCTGGAGGGTTGGATAGACTGACGAACAGTCGAACAGGACAGGCAGAGAAAGAAGAAAAATAGGTGGCGACTGAAACGGCCACGCCACGGTTATAGCGGACACATAAAGCTATGACGATCAATCACACATAGAAACACGCACGCACACACCAGCAGGAAAAACGATATTGCACAGTGGTTAAGTAAAGCCGAAAATTCGGTGAATATCACATTTAGAAAGCTTCTGTGTGAATAGCCTTGCCACAGCAGTGTGCATATCAGAAGCTCAGTTCGAGCGGTCGGTAAACCAAGCCTACCGTTCGCAATGTGTTCGATTGGTACACGGGACCTACTGCTGCTGTTGCTGCTGCTGGTCACGCTTTATGTACAGAGTCAGCAAGCGGCGCTAAACGCAAGAAATAAACACACGATATAAGTGCAAAACTGAAGAAAACAAATATCCCAATTAAAAGCAGCGCCATTTCTAATAGGTCGATTATCATAACTTTAGAAACTCATGTCAAATGCCTTATGAGTAAATTAACTGGAATGGCAGAAATTCCTAGAGATGTCATGGATCTATGAGTGTTAAATACTGAATCTCCAACGTTTCGAAGCGTATTCGATCCGTTTTCATGGAATGAAGTCATAAAAAACAAATTAATGCTTCAACAGTAATACTGCAACATGAATGTTGATGCTAATAATGGCACTGCATACGCATCAAATAATAGTATTACTAAACACAAACTGATTTTATCGGTTTATCAGCATGCTGCTGGTTAAAAGCAAAATTTTTTCTTACTACCGGATGTACAAGGCGTAAGATACCGTCCCCTTGGCTGCACTTAGTGTAAAGATCCACAGGTGCTGAAGCAGTATGGGAAGAACTCATTGGTTGCGCAACATGCAGTACTAGTACAACACAGCATACTATGTGCCCACATAAACGGAATACACAGAGAGCGAAACTTCCTATACAAAAAGATAGAAGAAGCATTGATAATACAATCAAACCAATGCATGAATATAACGTTGCGCTAGGGCGAAATTATCAAGGCTAAACTCTCCATGCTGAAGTTTGTACCGAAATACACAGACATTTACAGAAACATCGCATCTGTAGGATGTCGCTCACGGATCGAACATAATCCGAAACGTTTGAGAACTTGTATATAATAAACTTTATACATGATATAATCCCGTAAATTTATTTTCGAATTCTGAACTAAATTCTTGCATAAGAATCCACATCGGTCTCTAAAATTAGCACTTATTTATTTAAGCAACATTAATGCTTTTAATTTTAACAATTTTCCATAGGGCTGCTATAGGATTAGAACTCACCAAAGTGCCCTTTGTCAATTAAAAATGAGAAACCAAAACGTTATACGGCAATCACGCAAAAACAATAGCCCAGGATATGAAAATCAATGCCAAAATTTTGAAATAGGAACGGCATCGAGTTTAAATAAAATAAACTGGAAAAAATTATGTAAATATTAAATGTCTTGCATTTGCTTCAGAAAATAAACACGTACGATACATCGTTTTACTGAGGTCATGGGTTACGAAGCCACCTAATTGTCAAAAATTCGTTAGACCTATAAGGGAAACGGAACAATACTGCATGCCACGAAACTTGGTTCTGAAGTTCTGAAAACTAGGAGCTCACTAAAATACCCTCAAAGAAATGAACCAGTATTTTGGATATTCTGCAAAATACTGGCGGAGAACAGCTCCTCAGGCATTAGCTGAGCTGAATGTAAAGCTTAAGCTAACAGAATTATAGCCAGGTACACGTAGCACTGTATGCGCTAAAATAGAATGTAGGAATTGACTATCTACGCAGTCCAGTCACTAATATTTGCCATCAAGGGAAAACGTAATACGTCGGTAAAACGGAATTCACAGACGCTATGTGCTTTATCAACTGCTTCATAGAAAGAAGCCAAAGCTTGTGAAAATGTGCATAAGGCGACGGGCGCTTTAAATATCCTACGCACACAAGGAATTGCTCTACCCATGCAGCGTGTCTGGAAAGCACCGTGAAATAATGGCCTGCTAAAATTACGTTAGACATCTAGGAGCAATAGGATGACGTTATAACGATGTTGAGCCTCCGTCCAGTAGGGTTATGCATTTACAGATATACAATTTTATAAAATTCCGCGTCTTAAATTAATTCAACTTTAATCTGTAACTTCCTGATTTAAATTCGCTACATACCATACTACTAAATATATCATAATTACATATAACTAATCTGCGTCGTAACATAGAAAATACGATTGAGAAACATTTATTATGGAATAAAATGGTAACACCCTTTACCTTGCTGCCACTAAGAGACTGCAGGTAAGG